GTAAGTGTTCCTCCGCCTTCATCCGCGATCCGGGGCGATCTTTCATTCCACTACAGCGCACCAACATGGCATCCACCTCACCGCAAGCCCAACCTACGTGTCTGGTGTGAGGTGACTTGTCTGACGACATGCCAGTGTGGTGGCGGTCTCAAACAACACGCCCTCAGCGACAGCAACAGCAGAGATAAAGGGTGTAGAGAAAGCGGTCTGACGCCGGAGATCCCTGCCGGTGAACCCACAAAGCATATCTTTTGTAGAGAAAGCGGTCTACCCACTAGACTACTTAGTCGCGGGACTAAGTAGTCTAGTGGGTAGACCGCTTTCTCTACAGAGAGGTGGACGGAACCACCGATCGAGTGGATCTAACGGGAAAACGTTTTATTCTACTTACAGCCGACCAGCGACCTCGCTGACCACCAGCGGACCGTGGCGCAGGCGGACATAGCATACCAAGGCATGGTTCACACGACGGGACCGTTTGGCCATACTAATGCTCGGGCACACCACAGTCTGGGTGATTGCTGCACGCCATGGTGCATTGTTGTTGTTGTTTGTTTTGTTTGTCTCCCATCATTGGACTCTGTCGTCTGCTCCTCTGGCCCCTATCCTCCACTTCTACTAGCTAGACGACCCAACCGGGGTCACATAGGAGGGGGGGGTTGGACCCCCTCCTGCGGTTCATGCCTGAGGTATTTTTATCGCGAGAAGGGTACAGCAATCCCTTCCCTCGCGACTTACGAAGTCGATTATGGTTTACTAACAAACGAGCTTTGCAGCGCGTCGCTTTCTTTCATCCTAGACCAGGATTTATTTAGTGAGAAAAAGACTCTCTCTACCGGGACTCGAACCCATGACCTGGCCCTTAGCAGGCTACGAGGCTACCCACTAGACCACCGGGGCGACCGGGTTAGGGTTAGGGTTAGTGTATGGTAAGGTCGAACACCGCTGGCATGACCGGCAGTCAACCGCAATCGGTGGTCCCGCAGTCAACTACAATCGGTGGTTCCAATCGATGGTCCCGCACAGCACGCTGACCAGTTTCATCGTGTTGGCGCAGACCAAATTGGTGAGTGCTAAGCGATAGGGTATATATAAACAAGGTGAGCACCGTGGGCAAGAGCAGACCCTGGGATTGTTTGGCTGGCACACAGTGTTTCAGTCTCACAGACTTATCTGTCTCTTCCAGCGGTGGTCTTGATTGATTGGGAGTTTGGCTGGCACAAAGTGTTTCAGTCTCACAGCGTGTCTGTCTCTCATTCATTCCCCAAACTCAAACAACAAACACCCGGGGGGGTATCCAAACAACCCCCCCACCATACCAGAACCACACACCCAAAGCACGAGTACTGTACAGAACATATGACATGCATGTATTGCTGCTGCATCATGTAATGTTCACATACACAAATGGTGCGCGAATGAAAAGACTCTGTGAAACGCTTTCCTGGTCAGTTAGAGACGTATCGTCTTTTGCGTTTAACGAAGGAAGAAAAAAAGAATACCGTGTTCACAACGGGACAGTGATGTCGGTCATCGTGCGCGTGGCCTGCCTGTTCGGACTGATGGTGTCGGAGCCAAAGACGGAGATCATGTGCATGCTGCCAAAAGGGATCGAGGAACNGGGAGATCACGAGCCGCAGCTGCCGAGCGTGGAGGTGCTACCGCCGGAACAGTGCTTCGATGTACGACAGACGACGGGTCAACCGCCAGCTCAAGATCCGGCTACTCCAGGCTGAAGTGGTGTGGAGACTGTCCTGTATGGGTGCGCCTCGTGGCGCCTAACAGCGGAGCACTACACGAATCTCATCAATGGGACCCACCGCCAGTTCCTCACACGGTGCATCGGCTGGAGCAAGCGGAAACGCTCAGACCGCCCCCTGTCCTATGCCCAGGCCCTCATCCAGGCAGGCTGCGAGGAAACCATCGAGGCCACCGTGCGCAAACGGAGACTGTGGTTCGCGGGCTTTGTTGTGTGTGTTGCGCATGGAGGACAGCCACCTCCCCAAGCGCATGCTGTTAGGAGCCATGGCGGGGGGCGTGGGATACCGGGGCGGGCAGGAGAGCGACTGGGTGTCTCGTCTAGGAGAGGACCTCGTGGCCTTCAACATGGAAGACGAAAAGGAAGGGGGTAAAAAAAAAGAAAAAATGGGCCGTTATAAACGGACCGACTTTTTGTCAAAAATTTTGAAAGTGTCAAAAAAATGGAACCTGTAGATCTATGTAGGCGTTCGTCCATTTTTTTCAAAAATAGTTGGAACAAAGTTGGGCGCGATAAACTTTGCTCCACTTCGTTCCAACTTTTGACAACCCTCTCAAAGTATTTGGAGCACTTTCCAAAGTACCCTTGCAGAGGCACGCGTAGGCTGCTGCGTCTGCACCACGAGTTCCCCTCACCGTAGAAAGTCAGCTAGGGTTGTGTGTGAGTCATCTGTCGCTGTCGCTATTGCTATCGTCGCTGTTGCCAACGTTGNCGGCCACGCTGGGTGGTCGTGATATCCATGTCGGTGTCCATGATGTCGTGTTTTCCGCGGTTTGTGTTGTGTCGTGTGTGTTGTCTCGAAGTGAGCGCTGCAACCCACGGACGGCGTCATTTTTTTTTACACAAGTTTCACAAGTCCACGTCACACGTTAAAAATGACTGCACACAGGTTCCAAGTTTTTGAAAGACGAATGTCGAAAATTTTGACAAAAAAGTCGGTCCGTTTA